TGGAAATTTCCATTACATGTGTCTGACGAAGTGGGTATTCACCCACGAAAGCTCATGCTCCAATACGTCTGTTAGTCTATAAGGTGCCACAGGACTCTGTTGCTTTTTACAGATCCCGACTAACACGGCTCCCCCTCTGATACTTAATGTGAATGTATGTCCTGCAGAGTCTGATCGATCGCCATTGAACGCGCTTGAATACGAGTCATTTCCCCGGGTGTCCGGTATTCAGCAGAGGGAAGCGTGGCCACCCTAGTCTCAGGCAGGACTCGGGGGCTCCCGGAAGGAGTTCTAGCACCGGAGAGGGTTGCAGTTAAGCTGCGGAGTGGAGGGGCCAGTTCCCAATGAATGAAACCTCCCCGGGAAGAAGAGGCTGAGCGTGTCCAAGGGCAGGTGGAAGGAAGGTGCTGCGTGAGTCTCACAGGAAAAGTTCCTCATTGATGGTTTGACTTGAGCTCTAGAAACCCAGAACTGATGATTCAACTGCACAGAGGGAGTTCGGCCTTGAACTCAAGGAGCCGATATCACTGATTCCGACTCACAACATGTTTATTCATTACCCTGAGGTTACCCAGTAACAGGAAATAGCTACCGCGGCGACGCCCCACCTGACACCAGCCCGGCGGCTCAGCTCTGCCCAGGACACATGGCCAGAGCCCCTGGAGTTGTTATAATGCAGTATCTGGGTTACTGCAGGGCCCACAGCCTGCAAGGCATCACCTGCATGGCCAGGGAGACGCAGGCCCAGCTCCCAGGAGCTGACAGCTCGGGGCCTCACGTAAACATACAAAGGGTGGGGAACTGAATAAATACACATGGACTACACCCAACTGCCCTCGCCCCCTCACCGCTGTTAGCTGGCCAAGGTCCTGGAGGCATGACCCGGCCTGGAGGAGAGACATGCGGGGGGGCGGAGGAGGGATGGCCTCAGAGATCAGTCCAGGGAGGGGGTTGCAATCGTGTAGGAGGTCAAGGAGAGAACGGCTGAGAAGCAGACAAGTAGGCAGTCAAAGCTGGCATCATCGGTGGGGCAGAAGGGGTAGGAGATGGCATCAAAACGGCCAGGCCGGGTCAGACCAATGGTCCATCTAGCCCAGGATCCTGTCTTCCGACAGTGGCCAGTGCCAGGTGCCCCAGAGGGAATGAACAGGAGAGGGCAGTGTATTGAGTGATCCATCCCTTGGCGTCCACTCCCAGCTGCTGGCAGTCGGAGATTTAGGGACACTCAGATCATGGTGTGGTGTCCCTGACCATCTCGGCTGATAGCCACTGATGGACCGATCCTCCAGGAACTGGTCTAGTTCTTTTCTGAACCGTTATAGTTTTGGCCTTCACAACATCCCCTGGCAAGGAGTTCCACAGGTTGACTGTGCGTTGTGGGGAGTACCTCCTTAGCTTGACATGATAGGAGACCAGAGTGGGGAAGCCGGCGGGAACGGTTTGCAGATAGCGTTCTGTGGAGAGCCCCAAGCAAGCAATAACTCTATCTATGGCAGGACCTGCAAATCCCCAGGTAATGGTCTGTTTGCAGCCAGATTTACACGAGGTGCCCAAGACGTTCTGGCCGTTGAAACAAACAGGAATTTGTGTCCCCAGCACCATGGAGGTGGCCTGCCAGGAATGGGTTCCACGCAGAACGGGAACTGTCCTAGCAATTTCAACCCGACTTGCAGCGCTGGCCCCCATCGGGGGGCAATTCTGGAAGGCAGATGGCCACTTCTGCTCCACGGGGCCTCAGGAAACCTCTGCACGTTCAGGGGGTGTGGAGCCAGGACACACAACACTGTGCAGTTTCTCCCTGAAGGAGGGTGGCCACTATGAACATAGGTCACCTCGCTCCACTACTGCAGCCTGGCCTGGAGGGGTTATATCTGCCCTGAACTCTGCACAGAGTTCACTGTCTTCCCCACCCCCAGAACCGGTGGGGAACCCTCCCCCCCCCACACCCCTCTGCTGCGACAGGGGGCAGCCCCGAACTGCTCTGGAGCTGCAGAGCCTTTCCAATCCCTGCACAGTTATAACGTGAGCGGACCCGGGGACAGGGCTGTGGTGAAACCACCAGGGCGGGCGCCCCGCCCAGTGCAGCCAGCGCGCTGTGACGTGCCCCCAGGACCGGTTCTATGGGGAGAACCAGCCACACCGGGAAGAGCAGCTAGCGGAACCTCACGCGCAACCGTGGGAAGAGGGGGTGAACTTCTACAGCCCGGGCTATGCCGGGGCGAACCAGACAATCCATCCATTTATCTGGCCACCGTCACCATGGTATCTGGGCGCCCCATTACTGTATTTATCCCCACTCCACCCCCCATGGGCAGGGCAGGCTGGTATCCCCATTGCACAGCTGGGGCAGCGAGGCCTTGAGAGGCTAAGGGACATGCCCAAGGTCACCCAGAAATCTGTAGCAGAGCAGGGACATGAACCCAAGGCTTCGGCTAGTGCCCTGACCTCTCTCAGAAATTGCCCAATGGTCCTTCTGAGGGGGCTGCAGGAACCCCAGGTGAGATTCTCTGCCCTGGGTGAAGCAGGAGGCCAGACCGGATGGTCAGAACAATCTTCTGGCCTTCGCTGCTACGACTCTCTAAGCCCCTCACTGCCTACGGCGGGTTGGGTAACTGTGGGGGGGCTCAGGACGCCCACTGGCGCGCCGTGGGACTGCCATTTGAGGAGGGGGATGTAGCTCTCAGAGCGGCCAGGCCCAGGGCGAGTCTGGTGCCTTACAATGAGGACGCACTGCAATACACTGGCGAGCAGTGAAATTCACCCCGGGAGAGGGCTGGCTGGCAAGGCCTCGGCACCTCTTGAGTCCTGCATGCGCACCAGCCCTCAGCCCTGGGGTGAATTTCACCCCCATCCTTAGCAACGGCAGAACCCCCCCAGAGTGACCCACCCAGGGCTCTGCAAGACAGCAGAGCTTCCCCTCAAAGGCTGGGGTCTTGCTCCATGGCCCACGGGACCCCCAGGCTGAGACAACGCCTAGGCCTCGCCCCAGCCCTCTGCCCAGGGGCGAGTTTCGCCCCCGGGCCTTAGCAACAGCAGAGCCCGCGCAGCCTGCCAGGCCCGGCCGCAGCCTGCAGGAGACAGAGCAGCCGGGGGCTACTGCTCGTCCCCGTGGGCCCTCTGATGGAGGAGCAGCTTGGTCTTGAAGCTGAAACTCCTCCCGCACTGGGCGCAGGCGTAGGGCTTGAAGCGCCGGTGCAGCTTCCGGTGGGCCATGAGGTTGGCCTTGTTGCAGAAGGTGCGGTCGCACTCGGGGCAGGCGTAGGGCCGCTCCCCGGTGTGCACCCGCTGGTGCATGAGGAGGTTCCCGTTGCGGCTGAAGCTGCGGCCGCAGTCGGCGCACTTGTGGGAGCGCTCCTGCGGGTGGCTGCGCTGGTGGATCATCAGGCTCTCCTTCCAGCTGAAGCTGCGGTCGCAGCGGGCGCAGACGAAGGGCCTCTCCTCGCGGTGCGCCGCCTCGTGCTGGGCCAGGCTGGCCGGGTCGCCGAAGCTCTGCCCGCACTCGGGGCACCGGTGGGGCATGTCCCCGACGTGCTCCTTCCTGTGGGCCAGCAGGTTCCTCTTGTGGCGGAAGCTCTCCCCGCACAGGCTGCAGGCGTGGCCGCCCTCGCCCGCGTGCCCCGCCCGGTGCCGCAGCAGGTCACCCTTGAGGCAGAAGCTTTTCCCGCACTCGGTGCAGGCGTGCCGGCTCTTCCCCCGCCGCTTCTTGTGGGTCAAGAGGTTGCGGCGGTGGCGGAAGCTCTTCCCGCAGGCCCGGCACTCGTGGGGCCCGGCGCCCGGGTGCAGGCGCTGGTGGGCGCTCAGTGAGGCCTCGTCATCAAAGCTCTTCCCGCACTCGCAGCAGATGAGGGGGCCCTCGCTCCCCGGGTGGATCATGGCCAGTGTGCCGCCCAGGAACGCACCGTCCCTCCCCTCCCACTCCGGGGATTGCTGGGGGGCGTCTCCCGCCAGGTCCCTCTGCTTCACCTCGCACCACAGGGCAGGATATTCCAGCACAAACCCCTCGGCTCCCCCGGCCAGCGACGTGTGTGGCACCCACTGGTCGTTGTAGCCCTCCACAGACAGCTCCTCCTTGACACGCCTTCCCCAGCCAGCTGTTGGACAGACCAAGCCAAGCAGTTACACCCTGGGAAGGGGCTGGGGGAGGCCGGACGCTCCGCTGGTGCCAACAAGCGTTAACATCACACGCCTTTGCCGATTCCCACCGGCCCTGGGCTCACACAGCGCCCAGAGCCACACCTCTGCCCCCGCGCCGCACTGTGGAGTGAGTTTGGGGGGGGCTGGGCTTTAGAGACAGGGCAGTGTCTCTGCCAGTGCCCGCTGTGCGGCAAACGCAGGGCAGAGATTCTGGGCACAGGCTGCGGTGTGTGTGGTCACGGCACGCTCCCCCTCGGGGATACGACCTGGACTGGCACACAGGGCGGGGGTAACGAATGGTAGATCAGTGAGCTCCCTGACCGTGTGCCCGACCTCCCTGCAGGAACGGCCTTGCCGCAGATCTCATTGCAGAGCAAGGAGCCCAGGGAGATCGGGGGCCACCCTCGCTGCCCTGCTCTGCCCAGCAGCACAGAGCAGGCAGACAGCCACCGTGAGCGGCAGAGAGCTGGCACAGGCACTTCTACCCCAGCCCCCCTTTTAGCCCTAGCAGAGGGGCCTGGCCCAGGCCACTGTTGCATGAATGTCTCTTGGGGATACTGATCGGCCAGGACAGGCCTGAGTCCCCCTCTGCTCATCTGCCCCCCGGGACAGGGACTGAACGTTGCACAACGTTTCTGCTCTTTTGTCTCTGAGCAGTTCGCAGGGAGGGGGAATCGGTGCTGCTCACCTGTGCTGGGGGCGTCCAGGATTCCTCTGTCCCTCTCGCCCTGGGGAGCGGTGGTGTGTGGCTCTTCCCCTCGCTCCATTTTACAGATCATTTCCGGTTTGGGGCCTGCAGAACCTGAGCATGGGGGGAGACCCACAGTCTGGGTTTCCTGTGTCCGCCGCAGGAAGAGGCGATTTGCAACACATCGGATGTGAGTGGGAGATGCTGTCACAGGGGCTCTTCGTTCTGACTGCAAACCCCTTGGGGCAGGGACACACAGGGGGGCTACTGACTGGGATGTGCCCAGCTCCCGCAGAGCTGTGTCCACACGTAACAGCAGTGTGTGAACCGGAGCCGCCCTGCGAGGTGCAGCCCATGGGACCTGGAGCGGGTTTGAATTCCTCACCCCCGCTGGGAGAGGCAGCTGCCGAGGGATGGGAGGTACCTGCAGTCCCTGGGCCCTGTGGACGGGACAGAGCGGTTCAGCCCATTTCCCAGGCACGTCTGAAGGGACATGTGGGTGCCCTGCGGGATTTCAACGTTCCCTTGAAAAAGGCTGGCGTGGGGCTGGGCCGTGCCTGGACCATGCACAGAGCTCACTCGCTGCCCAAGAGGTGTGGGCTGCGGCTGGCTCCTGTGGGCTAGAGGGTCTCCCTCGGGGTGGATTTCATCCCACTCTGGCACCGGCCAGGGCCTTTCACAGACTCTAACAGGGCCTGATCCTCACCCAGCGAGGCGATGAGCTCGTAATTCTCCATCATCACGTCCCGGTACAGCTCCCGCTGCCATTCGGCTAACGCCGCCCACTCCTCCGGGGAGAAATAGACCGCCACGTCCTCGAACGACACCAGGGCCTGAAACACAAGAAGGGTCCCCATTCGGGACCTACTGATTCAGTGGCATCTTTATCCACCATCCTCAATGGGGGCAGGCGGGAGGGGAGTCTGTGGGCACCGTACATGGTCACGTCCTCCAAGCTGCCCCACTCACCCCCCAGCCTAGGGCCCCATGGCCGGTTGAGACACCTCCCTTTACCTTCCCCGAGACAGGTTCTGTCTCTGATCTTCTGCGGACCAGCCCCATGTGGCTTCAAGCCTGGGGGTGTCCTGAGCTTGTCCTATGAGAGTGGGGCAACTGCTCAGGAAGGCTGGCCTGGTGGGCACGGCAGTGGGCTGGCGCTCAGGGGACCTGGGGCAGTTCCTGGTTCTGCCACAGACTCCCCGTGTGACCCTGGGTGTGTCACTTAGTATCCCCAGTGGCCAAATGGGAGGTTAACACTTACCTCCTCCCTACCTTTGTCTGGGTTATTTAGATTTGCCTATAAGCACCTGGGGGCAGGGGCTGTCTCTGACTCTGGGTATATCCAGAGCCCACCACAACGGGACCCTGATCTAGGGCCATTAGAGCGTCACCGTAATACTGCCAATTACCGCATCCAGCCCTGGTCTGTGCCCAGCTGAGAGTAGCCCCTGATCAACCCAGTCGGCACTCAGACCCGCCTGGCCGGCACGCAGACCCACACAGCCAGCACGCAGACCTACACAGCGGGCACGCAGACCCGCCCGGCCGGCACGCAGACCCGCCCGGCCGGTGTCTAGATGAGAACATGCAGCTGCAGGGGAGGGAGAGATCCCAGGGGAGAGAGTTCGCAGCAGGCTCACTCGGGCTAAACTTAAAGGTGATCTGCAAAGCGGAAAAAATTCTCATGATGCATAAAGGGCAGAGAGACTAGAACAGAACAGGAAGGGGGCAGGGGTCTGCTTGTTTTTTACCTTACAGCTACGTCAGGAACATCAAGTCTCCTCTTCCCTGATCTTTGGGCGGACTGAGAAACGTGGCGTGAGCTTCTCAGCCTCTCCTGGAAGGGCAGGTGGCACTGAGCCAAACTTTAGCTCGGAGAGTTTTTCTCACAAGACTTCCTTGGGCATTGGAGTTAAACAGGTGCCGACACCACAAACAAACAGACTCCACCGCGTTTGAAATAGACACTGCCCCCTTCTTAGCCGGGCTTCGCTCGCAGGGCACCTCTAATGTCCGATCTAGCAGGTCGGTCTGGTTTATTACCCTACGCTCACCCCAAGGCTCAGCGCTCCCCACTCGGGCAATCAGTCTGGGCGCTCTCCAGTCAGCCAGAGACCCCCAGGGAGACCAGCCCCTCGTTCCAATAGAGAAACAAGCAGAACGATAACGTACAAATCTCCTTTGTGCATCATAAAGACGCAGAGGCCACAACAAACCGGTTTTTAAAACATTCGCAGGTCCCCGGGAAGAGGCAGAGCCCCCAGAACTCAGGACGTTTCGAACTCGGCCAGTGGGATCACTTCGTTATTCGTTACGATTCGTTTAGCACAATGTGCCGAGCTTTTCACGATGCACCATCAGCCCCCAGGTCCAAGGAGTTCTGGGAGCAGGGCTGGATGTCAGAGAGCTTCCCGACCCTGGAGGCGGGGAGACTCCAGCACCTGGGCACCCACAGGCCTGGTCCACCCTTAAAAGGCAGGTTGACATGGCTACCTCGGTCAGGGTGTGAGAAAGCCACCCCTGCGCCCCAGCTGTGCCCAGCATCCCGCCCCCGGGGGACGGAAGACTGTGCCCAGCACTAGGGCTGGGCACGTTCCTGCCCTGATGGTCCGGCCCCTTCTGCGGCTGCAGCCCAGGCACTGGGGCTACGCTGGCAGAGCTCCGTGACCGCGCTGCGCCAGGGCCGTGTCTGCAGCGCCGTTTCCTGCCCCTCCAGCGGCTCCCGGGCCTGGCCCAGCCTGCGTGGGGCTGGCAGCGGGCGGGAGGGGTGATTTCCGGGAGTCCCGCTGAGCCCACCCGGCAGAGAGCAGGGCTGCCCGGCGCCCAGGGACCGGCCCCTGCCCCAGGCACTGGGAAAGGATGCTGAGGGCAGCCCCATGCACAGGGCAGGAGCCTGGCCCTGCCCCCCGGGGGCACCGGGATGTTTCTAGGGGATGCACCGAGCTCAGACTAGATGATCTAACGGCCCCTGGCCCCCGCAGCCGGGCGGGGAGGGGAAGGGGCCAGGGCAGCCCCCCGCCTGCAGCCGCCCCGAGCCGCCCGCCCGCCCCTACCTGCGCAGCGCTCCCAGCGGCCATGCCCCCTGCGCGGCCCGGGGCTCGGCGCTGCTCGGCGCCCGCGGAGCCTCCCGGCGCCGCTGCGCTTCCTCCGCCGGGCTGGGCCGGGGCCGGAAGGAGGCGGGCGGGGACGGGGGAGGAGCCGCTCACACAGCCCGGCCCAGCGCCGGGGAGGAGCAGCCCGGGGCTCGCTACCCACGAGCCGGTTCCCTCCACCGGGCTCCAGGCTGCAGCGGGGCTCGGCTCTGCCCCGGCCCGGCCCAAGGGCCCCAAACTCGGCCCTGGCCGGGGGCTTCGGGCACAAGCCGTAACCGCCGGGACCTCGGGCACCGAACCTGCTGCGGGGGCGCAGACCCCGGGGTCCCTCCCTTAGCCGGTCCGGTCCCACGGGGCTCCCCAGGGCCCCCTCCCTTAGCCGGTCCGGTCCCACGGGGCTCCCCGGAACAGACCCCGGCTCCCGCTCCCTTAGCCAGGCCGGCCCTGCAGGGCTCCCCTTCCCTTAGCTGACCCAGTCCCACAGGGCTCCCCAGGGCCCCCCTCCTTTAGCCAGCCTGGCCCCGCAGGGCTCCCCGGAACAGACCTCGGCTCCCCCTCCCTTAGCCAGGTCGGCCCTGCAGGGCTGCCCGGAACAGACCTCGGCTCCCCTTCCCTTAGCCAGCTCGGCCCGACGCCGATGGTGCTCCCCAGAGCCCCCTCCCTTAGCCAGCCTGGCCCCACAGGGCTCCTGGGGGGCCCCTCCTTTAGCCAGCCTGGCCCCACAGGGCTCCCCGGAACAGACCTCGGCTCCCCTTCCCTTAGCCGAGCTGGCCCCACAGGGCTCCCCTCCCTTAGCCAGCTCAGCCCGACGCCAACGGGGCTCCCCAGGGCCCCCTCCCTTAGCCAGCCTGGCCCCGCAGGGCTCCTGGGGGGGGCCCTCCTTTAGCCAGGTTGGCCCCGCAGGGCTGCCCGGGATCCCCTCCCTTAGCTTGCACAGTCCCCCAGGGCTCCCCGGGGACAGACCCGCCCCTACACCCAGGCACCACTGGCCCTGCAGGGCTCACGGGGACAGACCCCGGCTCTCTCTCACCCAGCCCTGCCGGTGTAACGGGGCTGGGGAATAAAGGCTTGGGCAGCCGGGGTTACTGAGCAGGCAGCGCACATCTGCATTCCCTGCTTCACTTCCTTCGAAGGCCGAGTCACTGAGTTCTCTGCTCAGCGCTGGCGGAAAGCCGCTTTCGGTGATTCTGTACCATTACCCCAGGACAGCGGAGGAGTGCAGAGCTCCCCGAGGGGTGGGTCACGCACGGGATGCATGCAGAGGTCTGGGTAGGGCTCAGGAGGGGAAGGGTGGAGCTGGGTGGGGCACGGCCCTACAGAAATACAGCACGAACAAGGGAGAAAATCTGATTGACACTTGGCCCCCGGCACATGCATGGGAGTTGAAGAACCCAGAAAAGCCGATGCTGCACCAGGTTCTCCTACGCCCCCGGGGGACTCCGCAATTACACAAACATGCTGCGCCGGAGCCCAGCAAGCGAGAACTGGACGGGTTTATTGGACACTGGGTCTGACAGCGGGAGAGTGTATTTATGTACCGCGCCCAGTTTCATTGCATACGCTGCTTCGTCAGCCAGCCCTTCCCTTCCTGCGTGAAGGTAGCACATTTCTCAGCTGAGCTGGTGAGTTACAGTCTTAGTAAAGAAAATGTTCTTTAAGCAGGACCCCGCTGGTGCTGCTAACACGCCTCGCCTGTCCCTCCTCACCCACTCAAACTGCAGCATCATTGGCGCCGCCAAAGCAGCCCGGGGGGACACGGCTCGACCCTGCGAAACGAGGCGTTCCCAGATTTCAGAGGGGACCCAGCACTGGCTCAGGCTCTGGCCAGGCTGAGAGCTGCAGCTAAAGCCAGCTTCAAACTGAAGTGGGGGACGAGGGCGATTTCGGTTCGATAGTAGCAGAAACTCTCCGGGCAGCGAAGCTCTGGGACAGGCCCCAAGGGAGGTCATGGAGGCCCCGTCACTGGAGGTTTTCAAGAACCCGCTGGATGAACACCTGTCAGGGCTGGGCTGGGCTTTCTTGGTCCTGCCTCAGCCGGGCTCTGGACTGGGTGACCTCCCGAGGTCCTTTCCAGCCCAGCGTTTCTATGGTTCTTACAAGGCAAGAGGGTCGTCAGAAGGGTGTGACCGGAGGCTGGACGGGCAAGGCTGGCACTGCGGCTAGGACATGCTGGCGGGCAGCTGGGATTCACAAGCACCCACCGGCGACTCGGTCCTGGCTGGTTAAGGAGACCTGAGAACGGAGACTGGTCAATGGTGCCTCTAGCCAGGCTTTCGCCAGTGCGGCTACAGGCCCTTTACCAGCGAGCCAGGCTGCTCTGGGCAGCCCATGTACTGCGACTCCGGACTGGGGCTGCTGGACAGATCCTGTGGTTCTCTCTGGCTCTCCAGCCCCAGGCTAACCCAGCCTGCTGTCACCATGCACTCCCCTGAAACCCCAGCCTAGAGTCAGCAGTCGTGGACTGGAGTACAGCAAGCTGCCATCTGCCTTCTCTCCCAGACGTGGGCCTTGCTGCAGCGAGATCTGCCTCTCGGGACCCCTTGGCTGGAGCACCGGAGCCTGCGTGCTACCTGGGGCTCAGCGGGAAGATTTCTCCTAGGCCCCGCTCTTCTCTGCTAGGTACTGGCTATCGGGGCATGTCCAGCAGCCCCTCCTGCAAGGGTCGGCGACATGAGAGCTCAGAGAGCAGCACTGGCTGCTTGCTACTCTGGGAACGTGCCGCAGGACTTCATCACTAGGAGTCAGCAGCCTACACAATGGGACCAGTGCACCCCAGGGGGCAGTGTCACCCTCCATCTGGCAGGGAACCGATAAACAGCCAAAGGAAAAATCCTGGGGGAGGAGCTTGCACCGAGGAGCTCCAGAGCGCTCCCCCCACCAGGGTCGTGCTCCCCAGCCGGGCTGTAGCCCCGCTGGCGTACCTGCATTGCCAGGGTCATCTATCCTGCCACGTGCTGGGAGACAGGGCTGGGCGTCCTCCCCTGCTCCCGCGCTGCCAGAGCCGCCCCAGCCCTGCAGACAGCTTTCACTTGTACTTGGTGAGGGCACCCAGGGGCTTGCGGGCGTGCGTGCGGGAGATCAGCATCTCGTGGATCTGGAGGAACTCGCTGAAGGTCTCCCCGTTGCCGTAGCCTGTCGGCAGCCCGCCGCCCGCGTGGGCCCTCTGGTGCCGCAGCAGGTCTCCGCGGTCGCCGAACCGCTGGCCGCACTGGTGGCAGGCGGAGGGCTGCTCCCCAGCGTGGCTGCGCAGGTGGGTGGTCAGGTTCGTCTTCCAGTTGAAGCTCTTGCCGCAGTGGGCGCAGGGGAAGGGCCGGGCCCCGGAGTGGGCGCGGCGGTGCAGGAGCAGCGAGCCCTCGTGCAGGAAGCTCTTGCCGCACTCGGGACAAGTGTGGGGCTCTTTGTGCACGTGGGTCTCCTGGTGGCGCACGAGGTTCTCCTTGCGCGTGAAGCTCCGCCCGCACTGGCGGCAGGCGAAGGGCTTCTCCCCAGTGTGCACGCGCTGGTGCGACAGGAAGGTCTGCTTGGTGCGGAAGCGCCGCCCGCACTCCGCGCAGCCGTGCGGCTTCTCCCCGCTGTGTAGCTTCAGGTGCCGCAGGAGGTTGCCCTTGTTGCTGAAGGCTTTGCCACACTGGCTGCAGGGAAAGGCGCCCACCCCGGCGTGCTGCCGCCGGTGCTTGGCCAGGGAGGCCTGGCTGCCAAAGCCCTGCCCACACTCCCCACACTTGTAGGGCCCCCCGCCCCCAGGGGCAGCGTGCTCCTCTGTTGGCTTCCCGCCCTGCCCAATGCTCCCCCCACACGGCCCCTCTGCAATGGGGGTTACAGGCACGGCTCCCGTCCCCACGCTGCCCCCCTGGTTCTCAGGCGCTGGGCAGGGTGTCTCTGGGGCCCCGTTGCTCTGGAGCTCAGCGCTGGCTGGGGAGTCCCTGACCCGCCTCTCGCCCCGCAGGGGTTCATCGTGTCCATTCCCCACAGGCCTCCCCTGGCCCGGGCGCCCTTTGCGCTGACTCCGACTGGCGCTGGCTCCGGTCCTGGCCGAGCCCAGGGAAACTCTCGCTGTGTCTCTCCCCGTTAGCATCTCGCTTGGGTCCAGTCCTGCCGGCTCTTCCTTGTGACGCGTCCCCTCCTCATCAGCCCCCCGGGTCCCACCACCTGCCGGGAGAGGAGCGTCCAGGCATTATTCCGTGTGCTGGGGAGTCGGGGGGTCCTGGGGGCACAGCTATGGGCCCCGGGGACTCTCTGTGGGGCAAACTCAGGTGGAAACTCCCCCAGGACCAGTCCCTGTTTACAGCTCTGCCAGCTCAGAGCCTGCCCCCGGGTCCTCCCTGCATGTGACGTCCCTGCCCTCAGGCGTGTCTCACCCACACCCGCTCTTTACCAAGGGAAGGTCCTGTTGGGTCGCTGCTAGCCAGACTAGTTCCAGCCTCTGCTCGCCTTGCCATGACGCTGTCGGAGGGGAGAGGGAAACTCCTCCCCATTCTGTCCGCACATCCCACAGGAACGGTCCCCCCTGCTGGCCCTGGCAGGAGGGGGCGCAGGGACCCCGTGGGCTCTGCCCCGGCAATGACAAACGCACTGACTGACCCGCTGCTTGGAGCTCAGGCCCGTGCCCTCCTCAGCGCCAGGCACCACACTCGCAGGGCCGGAAACGTTCTTGAACTGGGCACCACTGTGGCCAGCACAACAAAGTGCCGTGTGCCAGGAGCTGGCACAGGGACCCCGACTCCAGGAGCTTTGCTGGCCCCACTCACCCACGCCGTGGGGACCAGGAACACGTGTCTCTCCGGGGTCGTACGGCTCTTCCCCGCGCTCCAGCCTAGAGACAATCTCCGGTTTCTCCACGGTGTCTCCTGTTCGATGGAAGACAAGGTTTGTTACGTGCCTGTCAAATGGCTTAGCTAGCCAGCGCCCCGATGGGAGTCGAACGCACACGCTGGCTGGCTTCTGTCGGGGCTGGTGTATTTATGACACACCTGCCTTAGGAAGCCACCGAGTCTCACTGCGAAATGAAGACTAATCGGGGCACGTTCTGCCCACGTTCCAGGAGAGCAGGCTATGAAGCCAACCCTGGGTACCCGACAGCGCCACTGCCCCAACAAAGGGCTCTTTACCCACAGAGGTGACCAGGTCGTAATTCTCCTTCATCACGTCCTGATACAGCTCCCGCTGCCAGTCCTTCAGCTCCTTCCACTCCTCGGTGGTGAGATAGACCGCCACCTCCTCGAAGGTCACCGGCTCCTGCAACAGAACAGCCCTGCTGAGCCACTCCCCAGTGACCCTCTGCCCTCACCCCTGTGGCACGGCAGCCGGCCGCCTGGAAGGGAAAGGCCCTGAGCCGTCTTACGTGCTTATGAACCAGCAATTAACGATGCTCCTAAAGCAGAAATCAGGGAAGCCTCTCAGAGCCAGGAAGCCCCAGGCACTGACAGGGGCATTAGGCTGCTGGCTGCTGTTAAAAAAGGTTTCCCTTGGTCCCCTCTTGCCCAGAGCCTCTGAGTGTCCAGCACTTCGCGCTCCTTACCGGAGCGGGTCTCACCTCGTTTGGGGTGTCGTTCCCCTGTGCTGGAAGCATCAGGACTTTCGCTCTCGAGTACTGATGGTCCCAGACATACGGCGCCTTCTCTCGCTTTGCTTTTCTAGCCGATGCCTTGGGCTTGGGGCCCACGGAGCCTGTTCATGGGCAAGAGAACACGTGCTGTGTCCTGCAGTTCCAAGGGCCTTGCCAACACGCACTGCGCCAGCCATTGTCTGCAACGGGAATTTCTCTTGCGAGCAGCCCCCAGCTGGTAGTTCCCGTGATAGGATACTGGCTGCCTTTCAGACAGCTGGGTCCCGGGCCATCTAGCGCCCACAGACAGCACCCAGCCCCTTGGATTGCACTTGGGAGTGAACAGGCAGCTGGTGCAGGGCACAGGGTACGTGCCCACGGCTGCTGCTAAGGCATCCTTCACCAGCTCAAGCCCCTGGGAACTGCGTGAAGGCAGCTTGGCAGTAACCCAGCGGAGAGGTCACAGGGACCTGGATCACTGTGAACAGTTCTCACAAGCTAATCCCGAGAGTCCAGGAGCTGGGTCCAACGGGACAGCACGCCGTGCCCCAGCACCTCCAGGCTTGGCAGTTCATAGCCCTGGCACCTTTGGGCTCCCGGGCAGCAGCCGCCTCTCTCCGAACGCCCAGCTCTGAAGGCAGCGCCGCGGCCAGCAGCAGCGCAGAAGTAAGGGTGGCAGTATCGCACACCATACCACCTTTCCTTCTGTGCTGCTGCTGGCGGCAGCGCTGCCTTCAGAGCTGGGCATTTGGCCAGCAGCCACCCCCCAGTCGCCCGGCCACTCTCCGGCCGCCCAGCCAGTGCTTAATTTGTGCTGGGGCTCAGCTCCAACCGGTCTTTCATTACACATTAAGCACCGACAGCCAGGCTATGCACTCTAATGGCAGAGGGTGGGGGGACATGCCCTCCATTAGGACGCACCCCCTGGCTATCAGCATACCCCTGCTGGGATGGCACCAACAAATGGGGGGCTGAAAGTGATGGATCAACTGCCCAGGAACACCAGCGCACTGGGCCCAGAACACGTCCCGCCACGGAGTACAGCACTGCAGCGCCCTCGTCAGGTGGGACGTCACCGATGTTCAGCCACGCACCAGGCATTCTACACATACGTCAGTGCCAGAGTCCCATGGGAATGTGAGATCCCCCTAAAGCCAGCCTTGGCGTGTCCAAGACGCTGCTGCTCCTGCTAATAAAGGGATCCTCACCCAAAGATGCCACCAGCTCATAATTCTCCATCATCACGTCCCGGTACAGCTCCCTCTGCCATTCCGCTAACGCCGCCCACTCCTCCGGGGAGAAATAGACCGCCACGTCCTCGAACGTCACTGGGGCCTGAAATGCAACCGTGGCCCACTCAGCACCGTCGGCTCCAGTCCAGCCAGGCAGAGGCAGGGGTTAGACACACACAGGCTCCCCAGGCGGTTCTCTAACCTCTCACGACTTACAGCTTGTGCTAGAAGAACGATTATCCCAGCTTGGTGCCCGAGTCAGGCCAAGCTCCCAGGGACGTCAGAGCTGGGGGGGAGGGCGCATTATATTAGCCTCTTTCACACAAGGCTAGTCCGGCTAATGAGCCCCTAGTCCTGGCTCCGTGCCCCAATGGATGGAATTCCCAGGGGCTGGGGCCGACCCGGGAGGGGGGGACAGGACTGTGGGTCCCCTGGATTCACACTGATGCACGAGGAGCCCCTCAGGGCTGCTTCCAGACAAAACACGTGTTACTGCTGCTGCAGACACCCCCCGCCCCAAGGGGCGCAGGTGTGTATCTCCGGAGATCCTGCTCATCTGTTAGCGGGTCTGGCTCCCTTTCCGGGCTCCGCTCCCCTCCCTCTGTGTGTCTGCCCCTGCAGGATCCCAGATGCAGCCCAGCAGTTCTGGGGCTGCCCTGAGTTGTGCGGTGGGGTCCCACCCCCTGGCACCAGCCTCTGCCCTTTGTGTTTTGCCTTGTGGTTGCCAGAAGGCCCCTGGCTGTGAGACTTTCTCAGGCGGCTCCTCGCTCCACTCCCAGGGAGACCCCGTCAGGCTGGGCTGGCAGGGGAGACCCTCACCCTAAAGACAAGGGGGGGGCCCGATAGTCACAGCTGCTGCGGCTCCCACAGCCCCAGCGCTTCCAGGCTACCCTACAATAACAAACCCGCCAGCTGCTCCCGGGCAGCACAAGCAAAGCAGCCAGGTCGGGCCCGGGGCCCGATTCTCGCCCGGCCTCGGCGTGACCGCCCGGGGCTGGAGACTGACAAGCCGAGGCAGGGTGAGAGGTGCCGGGCCGCCTGCCACGGGCAGGGCTGGGGGCCGAGCGCGCACAGAGCGCCGGGCTCCCCCGCTCCCCGCAGCCCGGGCTCGGCCCCCTCCAGCCCCACGCCCCCGGCCCAGCCCTACCTGCGCCGGCATGGCCCGCCCGCTGCCTCCGGCCGCTCCGCTCCGCTCCCAGCCGCGACGCGCCCCCGATGGCTGCGCAGGGCCAGCGCGGCGCGCCCTGGGCGCACGGGAGGGCGCAGGGGCCGGGCCGGGGGAGGCGGCGGGCCGGGGGCCGGTCCCCGCTCCGGGCGGGAAGGGAAGCGAAGCGGTCGGCTCGGCAGACGGGCTGGGCCCCTGGGAGCCAGCGCGCGGGGTACCGGCCCCAGGGACGCTCCGGAGCCCGCAGCCGGGAGCTGGAGCGCGGCTCGCCGCTGGGGCTTTGTTCCTGCTCGGTGGGAAGGGCAGAACTACAACTCCCAGCATCCCCCGTGCCAGGGGAGACCCCGGCTAGCGCCCCTAACCTCCCCGGCCGCCTGCCTGGCTCTAGCTGGAGTCTCGCCTCCGGCAGCCCCGGGGAAAGGGACCGTCTCCGTGCGGTGTGTGCAGCGCCTGGCGCAGCGGGGCGGGGCCGTGACTGGGCTCCTGGCCCTAGGGGAACCTCCCCCGCCCCTCCGGATTCCAGCCACCCCCGCCTAGGGTTGCTAACTTTCCAGTCCCACAAAACCGAACAGCCCAGCCCCGCCTCCTCCCCAGGCCCCAGGCTGGGGGGTGGGGCTGAGGGATTTGGAGTGCGGGAGGGGCTGCGGGTTGAGGCAGGGGGTTGGGGTGTGGGAGGGGGCTCTGGGCTGGGGCAGAGGTTGATGCAGGCTGCAGGAGGGTGCTGACTCTGGGGTGAGGCCAGGGATGAGGGGTTCAGGGTGTGGGAGGGGGCTGTGGGCTGGAGCAGGGGTTGAGGTGAAGGGGGGTGAGGGCCGGGGGTGAGGGTTTTGGGGTGCAGGAGGGTAGTCTGGATTTGGGGGGGGCTCAGGGCTGGGCAGGGGCGCAGGCTCAGTTTGGGTGGCTCCCGCCTAGGAGCCGGACCTGCTGGCTGCTTCTGGGGCGCAGTGCGGTGCCAGGACAGGTAGGGATTAGCCGGCCCTAGTGCCGCAGCGCCGCCGACCGGACTTTTAACCGCCCAGTCAGCAGTGCTGACCGGAGCCGCCGGGGTCCCTTTTCGACCGGGTGTTCCGGACACTGGTCACCCTACATGAGCCCCCTGCTAATCCGAATCCCGGAGACCCCGGGCCCAGCCCCGCCCTAGAACAGACGCTCCCCCAGCCTGGCGCAGTCGGGGATCAGAGACGCTCTCCCCCCGAGAACGCGGCAGGAGACCCAGCTGGCAAACCAAGGGCTGCCCAGCACCGGCATGGGCAGGGCCCCTGCAGGATACAGGGTCCGAGACACAAACAGGGCCCAGGCCCAGGGCGAGACGGGCTCCAGGGAGCCGAGGGGGAAGGGCTCAATGAACGGTGCAAGGAGAGATGGGCTCAGAGACGGGGCCTGCCCACAGGTCAGCATGTAAAGCCATGTGGGGCGAGCTGGTCCCACCCAGCGATGCAACGAGCTGCCCACGGGCAGGGAGAGTAGCTGGCGTGGCTTTGGGAACGAGAGACCTCGCCCGAAGTTAGCACCAGGGACAGAAATACCTCGGTGCTGGAGCCGGATTCAGCCCGTTGGTGGGAACGCTGATGCGCTGCGGCTGAATCCGGCTGCCAGGAAGGGGCTTTCCTGGGAACATTTTACATTTCAATCAAAAATTTCTTGGGAATTTGTTGAGGTTTTGTCAAAAACAAACAAAAAAATGTTTTTTGGCAGCTGAAAAGTGGAACGTTTTGTGCGTACACTTTCCAACACTGGCCTTGCAACAACAACACAACCCTTGCCATTGAGTCAAAGAACGTTTTTCCATGGAAAAAGCTTGGCTGAAAAATGTGTGGCCGGCTCTAGACACGTGAGGACCGAGCTCCAACCCTGCACTGCAGCCTGCTGGGAACTGTGGTCTTTCCTTCCCGCCTGCTGAGAACCAAAGCCAAGTTCTCACAGCAGACAGACACCAAGGACGACTACCAAGGCCACCCAGATGGGGGGAGGGCAGAGGGACAGTTTGCCCTGAGCCCCCCAGTTGAAAGAGCCCCCAACGGTGCACCAGGCTGCAATGCTCAAAGTGGGGAGTTGAGCCCAGCCCCACAGGACAGGAGCCACAGCTGTGGGGCCAGTGCAGGGGGTTCAATCTCCAAGCCCCTGACCCCAGGGCCTCCCTTCAGTGGTCATGTTTTGGGAGGGGGCATGGCGGTGCCCCAGGTTCCCCCAAAAGCTCGGGGCCGCCAGGCCTTGAGGACTCTCAGCTATGGGAGCCCAGGGGTCTTGGACCCGCAATGACTGGGCCCCACTGTCACCCAACGTGCTGGCTCCACTGGGATCTCATCCCCTTTGCCAGGATAATCGAGATCTTTCCCCCACCCCCCAAGTTACTGGCTCTGGCCCAGCTTCCGGATCCCACTCCCTCCCCAACAGCTGCCCACCGTGCGCTCGGCCCACACCGCTGCTGGGGGAGGCGAGTCCCAGGCTGTGGCCCCTGCAGCGAGGCAGACAGACGAAGGGAGAGGAGGTCTCGGGCCAGCACATTCTGGTCTGTTGGAGGCTCTTCCCCCGTAGTTCCCGTCCCAGTCACCCTGGTAGCCCTGTGCATTTCAGGTGGGTCTTTGGTCTGCACACCTGGCCACGGCAGCCCTCTCCACGGGTGCAGGTGGAGCCCTGCACCCGTCGACATCTCTTGTGCTGCTAACGAGGCTGGGTAACGCAGAACCCTGCTAGCATCTCAGGGCCTCACCCAGGGGCTCCCTGGAGCCAACAGGGGTCTCTGCACTGGCTTGCACCGTTTCTGGCTCACACCCAGAGTCAGGGGCGGCTCTATGGTTTTTGCCGCCCCAAGCACGGCAGTCAGGCAGCCTTCGGCGGAGTTTCTGCGGGTGATCTGCCGGTTGTGCGCCTTCGGCGTACCCGCCGCCAAATTGCCGCCAAAGCCGCGGGACCGGCGGACCTCCCGCAGGCATGCCGCCGAAGGCACCCTGACTGCCGCCCTCACAGCGACCGGCAGGCCGCCCTCCGCGGCTTGCCGCCCCAGGCACGTGCTTGCTGCACTGGTGCCTGGAGCTGCCCCTGCCCAGAGTGAACATGTCACTGGACCTGCCTGGAGCTGGGGGAGCACAGGGGGGGCACCGGGAGCTGCTGGAACAGCTGCAGTCCCACTGCCCCTGCACCCTTGTGAGCTGGCCTCCCGCGGGGATGGGGGGATTGGTCTGGGCCCCCCAAACGCACACACCTTAAACTAAAATCATTGGCTACAGGGTTATCATTCATTTCTTGTGTGCTGTTCTGATTAATTACCATGTCATGTATAATCATTGTATGCTAAATAGAGTTCAGTTGTAGGAGAGAGGTAAATAATGGTGTCCCCCAGGGGTCTGTACTGGGCCCAGTCCTATTCAACATATTCATAAATGATCTGGAAAAAGGGGTAAACAATGAGGTGGCAAAATGTGCAGATGATACAAAACTACTCAAGATAGTTAAGTCCCAGGCAGACTGCGAAGAGCTAGAAAGGGATCTCTCAAAACTGGGTGACTGGGCAACAAAATGGCAGATGAAATTCAATGTTGATAAATGCAAAGTAATGCACATTAGAAAACATAATCCCAACTATACATATAAAATGATGGGGTCTAAATTAGCTGTTCCCACTGAAGAAAGAGATCTTGGAGTCATTGTGGATAGTTCTCTGAAAACATCCACTCAATGTACAGTGGCAGTCAGAAAAGCGAACTGGATGTTGGGAATCATTAACAAAGGGATAGATAATAAGACAGAAGATAATATATTGACTCTATATACATCCATGGTACGCCCACGTCTTGAATACTGTGTGCAGATGTGGTCGCCCCCTCTCAAAAAAGATATATTGGAATTGGAAAAGGGCAGCAAAAATGATTAGGGGTATGGAACGGCTGCTGTATGAGGAGAGATTAGTAAAACTGGGACTTTTCAGTTTGGAAAAGAGATGACTAAGGGGGATACGATGGAGGTCTATAAAATCATGACTGGTGTAGAGAAAGTAGATAAGGAAGTGTTATTTACTCCTTCTCATAGCACAAGAATTAGGGGCCACCAACTGAAATGAATAGGCAGCAGGTTTAAAACAAATTCAAGGAAGTATTTTGTCACACAACGCACAGTCAACCTGTGGAACTCCTTGCCAGAGGATGTTGTGAAGGCTGAGACTATAACAGGGTTCAAGAAAGAACTAGATAAGTTCATGGAGGATAGGTCCATCAATGGCTATTAGCCAGGATGGGCAGGGATGGTGTCCCTAGTCTCTGTTTGCCAGAAGCTGGGAATGGGCGACAGGGGATGGATCACTCGATGATTCCCTGTTCTGTTCATTCCCTCTGGGGCGCCTGGGATTGGCCCCTGTCGGTAGACAGGATACTGAGCTAGACGGACCTTTGGGCGGACCCAGTCTGGCCACTCTTATGTATAGAAGTATAAGACTGATCAGTAGTCAGAAGGGATAAGTACGTATTCGGTATCTAAGTAAGTAGGGATGAAACACAAGGCCTGTAGGCTGAGGCCTGCAAGATTTTAGCTTGGCTATTTTAGGCCTTGGAGCTAAGAAATGTCGACATAAGTAGGTGACCGAAGAATAACCCGACGCCCTGAGGTGGTGGGAAAAGACGAACCAAGTGGTGATATTGCGAAAAATTAGATTAATTTTAAATCACAAACATGCTGTAGAGGCACCTCTGTCTCCACCATGTGCCTGACCCACGGGATACAGGTTGTGCGTCAGTGCTAAGGAGAATAAAGAGAACTTACACAGCCTATAGAGACCGGGGTCCCTTAAGTCTCTAGGAGACACCAGACCAATAAGAAAAA